GAGTGCAGTGGCATGATCTTGGCTCACTGCAACTTCCACCACCTGGGCTCAAGTGATTCTCCTGCCTCAGCCTTCCAAGTAGCTGGGACTACAGACATGTGCCACCATGCCCGGCTAATTTGTGTTTTGTTTTGTTTGTAGAGACAGGATTTTGCCACATAGGTTGCCCGGGCTGATCTCAAACTCCTGAGCTCAAGCAATCTGTCTCCCTTGGCCTCCCAAAGATTACAGGCAAGAGCCACCATGCTCAGCCTATTCTTGTTTTTCTTTCTTTTTTTTTTTTTTTTTGAGACAGAGTTTCACTTTTGTTGCCCAGGTCGGTGTGCAATGGCACGATCTCGGCTCACTGCAACCTCCGCCTCCTGGGTTCAAGCAGTTTTCCAGCCTCAGCCTTCTGAGTAGCTGGGATTACAGGCATCCACTACCATGCCCGGCTAATTTTTGTATTTTTAGTAGAGATGTGGTTTCACCATGTTGGCCAGGCTGGTCTTGAACTCCTGACCTCAGGTGATCTGCCTGCCTCGGTCTCCCAAAGTGCTGGGATTACAGGAGTGAGCCACCACGCCCAACCTATTCTTGTTTTTCAAAATTGTTTTAGCTACTCTTATTCCTTTGCCTTTTCATATACATTTTAGAATAAGCATATCTGTATCTTTTTTTTTTTTTTTTTCCCCGCTTGTAGAGACAGTTTGAGACCAGCCAGGCTGGCCTTAAGTGATTCTCCCACCTCTGCCTCCCAAAGTGTTGGCATTAGGCCAGACGTGGTGGCTCACACCCGTAATCTCAGCACTTTGGGAGGCCGAGGCGGGTGGATCACTTGAGGCCAGGAGTTCATGCCCAGCCTGGACAACATAGAGAAACCCAGTCTCTACTAAAAATACAAAAAGCTGGGCGTGGTGGCCCACACTTGTAGTCCCAGCCATTTGGGAGGCTGAGGCACAAGAATCTCTTGAACCCGGAAGGCAGAGGTTGCAGTGAGCCAAGATCGCACCACTGCACTCCAGCCTGGGTGACAGAGTGAGAATCTGTCTCAGAAAAACAACAACAACAACAACAAACCCACAAAAACAGGGCCAGGCGTGGTGGCTCACGCCTGTAATCCTAGCACTCTGGGAGGCCGAGGCAGGTGGATCACTTGAGGTTAGGAGTTCAGAGCAGCCTGGCCAACATCGTGAAACCCTCTCTCTACTAAAAATACAAAAAAATTGGCTGGGTGCAGTGGCTTATGCCTGTAATCCCAGCATTTTGGGAGGCCGAGGTGGGCGGATCACCTGAGGTCAGGAGATCAAGACCATCCTGGCCAACATGGTGAAAACCCGTCTCTACTAAAAATACAAAAATTAGCTGGGCATGGTGGCGCATGCCTGTAGTCCCAGCTACTTGGGAAGCTGAGGCAGCAGAATCACTTGAACCCAGGAGGCAGAGGTTGCATTGAGCAGAGATCGCACCACTGCACTCCAGCCTGGCGACAGAGCCAGGCTCCATCTCAAAAAAAACAAAAACCAACCAACCAAACAAAAAAATCAGCTGGGCGTAGTGGTGTGTGCCTGTAGTCCCAGCTACTCAGGAGGCTGAGGCAGAAGAATCACTTGAACCTGGGAGGCGGAGGTTGCAGTAAGCTGAGATCGTGCCATTGCACTCCAGCCTGGGTGACAGAGTGAGACTCCGTCTCAAACAAACAAACAAACAAGAACAATGACAACAAAAAACCAAAGTGTTGGCATTATAGGCTCGAGCCACGGTGCCCAGCCTATGCATGTCTGTGTATTAAAAAACAGACAACAAACCCTTGCTGAGATTTTGATAGGAATTGCATTAAACCTACAGATTGAGAAGAAATGCCACCTTCACTATGTTGAATATTCCAATCCAAGTACATGGTTGGTTTCCACGTATTTAGGTCTGACTTCTTTCATTAGAGATTTGTAGTTTTCAGCATTTAAGTCCTGCACGTTTTGTTAGATTTAGTCCTAAGTATTTCATTTTTCTTTGAGCAATTAGAAACAGTATTATTGTGTTTTAAGCTGGGCGCGGTGGCTCACGCCGGTAATCCCAGCACTTTGGAAGGCTGAACCAGGCAGACCACTTAAGTTCAGGAGTTCAAGACCAGCCTGGGAAACAATATGAGACCCCATCTCTACAAAAAAATACAAAAAATTAGCAGGCCGTGGTGGCGCACGCCTCTGGTCCCAGCTACTTGGGAGGCTGAGGTGAGAGAATCTCTTGAACCTCGGAGTCAGAGGTTACAGTGAGCCAAGATCATGCTACTGCACTCCAGCCTGGGTGACAGAGACTCTGTCTCAAAAAAAAAAGATATTATTGTGTTTTAAATTTCGGTTTCCATGTGTTCGTTGCTAGTACGTAGAATCAATTAATTTTTTTCTTTTTTTTTTTCAGATGGAGTTTCACTCTTGTCGCCCAGGCTGGAGTGCAATGGCGCAATCTTGGCTCGCTGCAACCTCCGCCTCCCGGGTTCTGGTGATTCTCCTGTCTCAGCCTCCCAAGCAGCTGTGAGTACAGGCGCCTGCCACCATGCCTGGCTAATTTTTGTATTTTTAGTAAAGACAGGGTTTCACCATGTTGGCCAGGCTGGTCTTGAACTCCTGACCTCAGGCAATCCGCCTGCCTCAACCTCCCAAAGTGCTGGGATTACAGGTGTGAACCACCGCGTCCAGCAGAATCAATTAATTTTTTTATGTTATCTCGTACCTGTGACCTGAACTCATTTAGTCCTAGGAGTTTTTTTGTAGATTCTTCAGATTTTCTACCTAGATTTTCATCCTATCAGCTATAAATTGGGAGTTTTATTTCTCCCTTTCCTTACATATTAGGCATCTATTTGCCTAATTTTATTTCTTTTTCTTGCCTTATTGTGCTGGCTGGGTCTTCCAGTACAGTGTTGAACAGGAGTTGTGAGAGGAGACAGCCTTGCCTGGTCCCCATCTCAGAGGGGAGGCCTCTAGCCTTTCACTATTAAGTATGATGCAAGCTGTAGGGGTGTCTGGAGATGCTGTTTATCAAGCTGAGGAAGTTAGCTTCTATTCCTAGCTTGTTGACAGTTTTTATCATGGATGAGTGTAGAAGTCTGTCAAAAATTTTTTTGCATCAATTGATACGATCATGTGATTTTTCTTTAGCATTTGCAAAATATTGTAAAAAGCTTGGAACCTTCCCGATCTTACAATTTTCTCAGACCTATGGGGCCCTAGGAGCTCAGATGCTACCGCTGTTCTAGTCCACCTTGTACCAGTGTGCTCCAGGGAATGTAACCTGAGCCCTACTCCTGGCCAAACTAGCCAAATGCGGGAAATGCCGCTGTATAGATTCTTGGAGATTTACAATGTCCATCGTCATAGCCAAGCCTCAGTGAAGCCCCGCGATAGATTCCTGTTACCTTCGACATGGACTTTACCACATTTATTTGACCACAGAGCTCTTGTTTTGCACAAACCCTGTTATGGCCTCACTGGACTTTCTCAGAAATACACTTAGAGAACTGTTTTACTGATCTTGTCCCCTCTTTGCAGATGATCGAAAAACTGGAAAGAGAAGTGCTCTGACCAGGGCTCTGGTTAGTGGCACCACAGACACAAGGTCGCAGGTCTCCTGACTCCAGCCCACTGTTCTGGCTCCAGACCACACTGCTGTGACACGCTAACAAGTCAGCCAACATTGCTCATCACCAAGCTGGTCTCTTTCGTGGCTCCTGGGCACTCTATCCCCACTGAACCTGGCTCCAAGGGGTACAATTCTTCCTAGTTTCAGCGGGGTTGAAGGGTAGGCAGTATGAACACAGGCCTGGCCAGTAAATGGATCTGGTGTGGGCACACAACCGAAGTCAGCCTGACAGCACTCGATCCCCAAAGGTGATGCTAAATTAGAGGAAACTGAGGAAGGGCCACCAAGCGCTACTGCGCAGAGAAAAGCAAGGTTGCAGGCCGGGCACGGTGGCTCACTTTGGGAGGCCAAGGTGGGAGGACCGCTTGAACCCAGGAATTCCGAGACCAGCCTGGGCAGCACAGTAAGACTCGTTCCCATTGAAAAAACAAAACAAGTTATGAAATGAGGGAGACCTTATTTCCTCATGACAGGCCTGAGCCCCCTGATCCAGTCAGGACAGAAGAACCTACCTTGAGATTCATTTTTATCTATTTATTTTTTGAGACAGTCTGCTGTCACCTAGGCTGGAGTGCAGTGGTGCAATCTTGGTTCACTGCAACCTCCACCTCCTGGATTCAAGCAATTCTCCTACCTCAGCCTCCTGAGTAGCTAGGACTATAGGCTTGTGCCACCACACCTGGCTTTTGAGAGTCTTGCTCTGTCACCCAGGCTGGAGTGCAGCGGCACGATTTTGGCTCACTACAAGCTCCGCCTCCCAGGTTCAGCCATTACCCTGCCTCAGCCTCCCAGGTAGCTGGGACTACAGGTGCCCGCCACCACGCCTGGCTAATTTTTTTTTTTTTTGTATTTTTAGTAGAGACGGTGTTTCACCATGTTAGCCAGGATGGTCTCAATCTCCTGACCTCGTGATCTGCCGGCCTCAGCCTCCCAAAGTGCTGGGATTACAGGTGTGAGCCACCGTGCCTGGCCTAATTTCTTTGTATTTTTAGTAGAGAAGGGGTTTTACCATGTTGGGCAGGCTGGTATCGAACACCTCACCTTAAGTGATCCACCAGCGTCGGCCTCCCAAAGTGCTGGGATTACAGGCGTAAGCCACTGCGCCTGGCCTCTACCTTGGGATTCAAATCACAGGAGACCAATAAGTGACTTTTTCCTCAAACCAATTAGATGGAATCCTGTCACCTGCTAACAGAAGCCTAACTCACATGTGAAGCAGATAGCTTAGAATAGGCCACCACTGAACTGGCTTGGCAGGCCCCTCTGGATGAGCGGGTGTTGGCCACCCCACAGTTCCACAGCAAACAGCAATCTTGTCTGCTCCAGGCCTCATCCCCATCCCACCTCCCACCAAAAAGACACAGGCAGCCAAAGGCAGCGTGGGCGGTCGTTGGTATACATCATACATTTATTAGTGAATATCCCTCTGAAATCAGCAACAATATTAAAAAAAATAATGATTGCACTACTTGGTCAAGCAGAACTAGCAACTTTCATTTTAAAAAAAGTACAAATCTGTTAAAAATTTCAATCAGTATACACATATATATAATACAACATACTAGTTATGTTAAATGCTACAAACCAATGTGAATCCCATGGAATGGAAAAAACCACACATTTAAGCTTTAAGAACCATTTTTCTCTATATATTAGCATTTTCTCAAATACATACATGGGAAAAATGAGGTAACTGTAAAATGTGCAAGGAACAGGGCCCCCAAAATTACATATATTTCTACATATATATGTAATTTTATATATATATAAAACCTTTCTAACACAGAACACAGGCGCTGGGCCCAGCCGGGGCTGGGGGAAGGTGCCCACTGTCATGCCTAGGCCAGAAGTTGGTAAATAAAAAAGTAAACAATGGCAAGCCCCCACCACAGGAAATCATTGGTAACATGGCATCTACAGCAAGGTCGGCAAATCACAAACATCCTAAGTAATTGTTGTATAAATCTTGGTTTTAATGATGATTTTTTAAATGCTGTGTTCCCCCCCAACAGCTGCTTGTTGGAATCACTGCTGCAGCCGACACACGGCCTGCGAGCCTGTTTCCGCCTGCCCCAGGAACCGTAAGGGGTTTGAGAACCTTTTGTTGGGGTCGGGAAGGGGAGGGTTGGAGAGGGTGGTTCTGTGTAAAACACGTGGGTTTTCAACACTGCTATAAATATAGAAACGTCACCTGGAGTTATATACAGTAAGACTTTGGGTTCTCCATGGGGGTGGGACCAGGCTGGCGGGCCCCACGGCAGGCTGGGGCGGGAGCTGGGAGCCAGGGCCGCTGCCGGAGAACGAGGGTGGTTGGAGCATCCCTGAGGCAGCAGGCGCCAGGGGCTGCCTGCTAGGATGTGCCGGCCCCACACGCAGTTCGTTCAGGGCAGCAACCCCGGCTGGGTGTAGGACAAGAAAGGATTGGGACCAGGGAAAGAGGGTGGGAAGCTCAGCCAGACCCTACAGCGGCCTCCTCCAGGGCTCAGAGGACAGGGAACAGGTTGGGAGGGCCCCCTGGAGATGGGGGTCCACGGCCTTCCTGGTCCCCATTCTCCTGGGACTTCCCTGGAGGAGACTCGCCCAGGCAGGTGGGAGACGGGCCCCGGCTGGAGGGAGAAATGCCCTGAAAAGCGTCGGGTCCCGGTAGGCTCTAGGGACGTGTGCAGTACAGTGCATGGCAGTTATCAGCTGAGCACAGACCCCCAACCCTGCCCCACGACCGCCGGCCACCCAGCCCAGCCCGGCCTGGCCCGGCCGGGCACACACATGCATGCAGGCTGGCCAGCACGACCGTGCTCGGCCCCCCTGGGCACTCGGTCCCAGTTGGTCCCTATACTCGCCCGTATTAAACCAAAAGAAAACATAAATTGTCTTAAATATCCACATCCCCAAATCCTACACGCGATTTTGGGCCAAATGAATAAACAAATTCTGCTGCTCCTCACGTTCATGCAAAACAACAGAGGGAGAGGAGACTGGGCACGGGTCTGGCTGCATCCCTGGGAGGGACAGCCACCGGGAACACAGGACTCCCTCTCCCCGTATGGCCCAGGCCCCTCAGGATACATGTGCCCCAGCTCGGGGCTAGGCTGGGACACTCTCCAGCCTGAGGGTAGGGCTGGAATGTTGTGCCTGGGATGAGGGTCCCCTAGGGAGCCAGACTCAGCCCTCAACAGCAGCCAACGCAGAGCCGGCTGCCTGAGTTCACTGTTTGGGGTCAAGGGGGGAGGATTCAGCTCTGGGGCTCAGGAAATGGCCTTGTGACACCGTCAGTCTATGCACCTGGCAGTGCCACCTGGGCAGAGAGCACACCATTTCAGAGCACGAGACCTTCTAACCCAGGATGGTGCTGTCTGCCCATCCTGGGGCCAAGGATCTCCACCAGCCGCAGCGGGGGAGTGGACCCCTGGCTCTCAGTGCCAGCATGAAAAGGAGGGACCCGAGGGCGCACAGGAGGGAGACCAGATTAGGGACACTCAGGCAGCTCCGTGGCGGGCGGACGGGCAGGCAGACTAGGGAGGGAGTCTTTGGAGCTTGGCAAATGCAGGGGCTTATTGCAGGGACTCCTCGCTGGGCTGACCCTGGCACCAGCTCTGGAGATACAGGCGGGAGCGATGGGGCAGGCCAGGGCCACTCCCTCCCCATCCTCCCTGGGCCCTACCCCCAAGTTTCCAGAGCTTCACGCAGGGTTCTCCCGGGCGGCTGTGTGGCCTCACTCAGCCTCCCTGGGCACCTCGGAGGCGTCGGCCCGGCAGATGGGACACGTCCGGTTGGCCTGCGGGGACATGCATGTCAGGCGTCGCTCTCACCAGCCCCAACCCGTCACATCTGTGCAGCCACCTGGGGGGACTGGGTCCCCTTGGAGCCGGAACTTCTGAGATGATGACAAGGACAAGAAGGGAAACAGCCCAGGCCTGCCCATCCCCGTCACTGCACGAGGAATGCCCAGGAGCCGGCCTGGGCGGTGTTACCTTCAGCCACTTGTCAACACACTTGGTGTGGAACTCATGGTTGCAGGGCAGGACTCGGAGCAGCTGCCGCGTCTCGAAGTCACTGAAGCAGACCACACACCTGCGGAGGGGCACGGAGTGTCACCTCCGCACTGAGGTCCACGGGAGGGCTCAGTGGAGTGTGACTGCCCTGAGAGGGGCGTCCCATGGCAGCCAGCTGTGTTCAGAGGGGTGGGAGGTGGGGCGTGGTACTCACAGTGTCTGCTCTGACTGATGGCTGTCCGGGTTAAAGCGGTATGACGGGAGCTGCTCTATGTCTGCTTTGGTGAGGCCCCGGGGCTTGGCATCTCCCAACCGCTCGGCCAGGTTCAGGAGGGCCTGCATGCCGGCAGGAAACGGGGTCAGCAGCGCCTAGGGCTGCAGGTCTCCCAAACCCCACCTCCCAGCATGGGGCCCCACGGGACCTCATAGTTCTCCATCTCCACGTCATCCACGTCCAGATCCAGGCTGATGGTGGGCCCCATTGCTGTTGGTGACATTGGCAGCATCGAGCTAGAGAGACACAAGTGTGGGGGCCCAGGGTCAAGGTCAAAAGGAGTGGGGCGCCCAGAGCTGCTCTCCTGACTCCCTCCTTGCAAACAGAGCCCAGACCGTTGCAGCGGGGACGGGAGCCCAGCTGGTGTGCCTGTCAGGCTTGGGGGAGAATTCGAGACGGCTTCAGAGGCCCTGGGGCCCCTGGAGCTGTGTTTGGGTCTAACCACTGGAGGTTCTAGGAAACAGGGCATCAGGGACCTCGGGTGGATGTGCAGATACTTACAGGAAGTAGGGCAGGAAGCTGGGGTAGTAGGGTGGTGGGGGTGGTGGCGGGGGCGGCGGGGGCAGTGGCTGCTGCAGGCGGTATCTCTGGGTGCTCAGTCTCCGCGGCATCATGTGAGCATATGGCTGCAAGAGGGGTCAGGTGCAGGTCAGCCCGACGGGCCTGCCTCCTAGCCGGCCGGGAGCCCAGCGGGGTTTGCGGTGGCACTCACCACACCAAAGGACAGCTCCTGGTGCAGCGGGTCGTGGGGCAGGTAGTGCAGGGGCACCGATGGGGAAAGGGCTGGGCCAGGCGCAGAGGTGGAGTAGGTGAAGCTACCCAGGGAGTGCTGGTCCCCACGCAGGTCCACGTCATTGTCGAGCCGCTGTAGGGGCTGGAAGCAGCAGCGAAGTCAGTGAGACGACGCTGTCCTCGCCCCGCCTCCCCCGCCGCCATCCCCCTCCGTCATCATCCCCCGCCAGCATCATCGGACCCTGGGACTCACCATCCGCGGGTGCTGGGCCTGCAGAGACACAAACTGCCCCAGGGGCGCCATGGGGCTGGGCTGCGGGGGTGGGGCCGGCGGTGGGGGATGCAGGATGTAGTGGTCACTGGAGATGAGGTGGGGGTAGGCCTGATAGGGCACAGGCAGCTGCTGCATGGTGCACGCCTGGATAAGCTGCGGAGAGAGGGGACAGGAGGCTGAGATGTTCTCCTGGGCTCTGGGCCAGGTCTATGCCACGCCACCCAGCAAAAGGCCCCCACCGGGCACACACCCAGCAGCTCCAGGGTCTGCACAAGAAACCGTGTGGAAGGCCCATCCCTGTCCTAGGCCACCAGGCAGGCCACTCTACTCTTCAGGCCCACAGCCTCAACTCCTGGGCCTCTGCCAAGCTGTAAGGCAGGTACAGGGGTACTGGAAGGTCCCTGAACCTTGAAACACTCTGTTACCAAATGTGAATACACGTACGCTTTCCTGGGGCGGCCAGGCAGGCGCTCTGACAGCCTGGATGGCTGGATAGCTCAGCCCACTTCAGGGCTGCCCTGGGCCCACTGAGCCGCTGGCCTGGGCCTGGGGCTTGCAGCTGGTGGAGTAGGAGCTGGAAACACTCACTCACCGGGGGCGGGAGGCAGCAGAGGGGGTAGTGCTGCCCGCTGAACATCACGGAGCATGCTGGGAGCTGCTGGGCACTGCAGCCAGGGATGTGTTGGCCTGTAGGCAAGGGGAAGCCTTGGGTCGTCACTGTGGTGACCGTGTAGGACAGAGGGACAGGTCCCTGGTGCACCTGTGGGTAGAGAGAACGCCAGGAAAGTGTGAGAAGGAAGCTGGCCCTGAGGGCTACTCTCAGGAGAAATCCTCCTGCCACAGTCAGCTGCCGGCTCCCTTCCCTTCTCCACAGCGGCCTACCTCAGTGCAGACCAGACTGTGCCTCTACTCCCAGGTCCCCGGGGCAGAGAAAGCCCTGTGGGAATCCAGCTCTGCCAGTCATCCACTGTGGCCCCTTCCCCGGGCCTCAGTTTACCTACCTGTAAAACAGGGCTAATAATGCCTCCCTGGAACGTGAAATGAAGCAAGCTAGGTGAAATCAAGGCCTTGCTGCCTCTGCTTCTTAGAATGGCTCACAGGGCCAGGGGCGCAGGGGATGGGGTTCTGCCTACCTGCTCGTGGAGATCAACCATGAACGGGCTCTGCTGGGTGGCTGGGTGCAGCATTCGGGGGCTCCCGCCGGCAGGAGCCGAGGCTCGGCGCTCCTCTATGGGGAGGTGTGGAGGTCGGGACGGCGGCTGCTGGGAGGGTAAGCGCTCATCCCGGGCAGGTGGGCTGGCCAGGGGACCCTCGAGGCCGGGGCTGCACCACAGAGAGGAGGCCCCGATAGGACTGAGGGGGGGCCACTCGTGCACAGAGCAGGGAGAGAAGCCAGGGTGACTCCCCCCATGGGGAGGGAAGGCAGCTCAGGGCCCTGCGCCCCACCCCTGCTGGCCCCCGTGCCCCAGCATCAGAACGGTGAGGCTCCTCCCTACCTTCCCCAGAGCTGGCCCGGGGTGCTGCCGGGTCCCGCAGAGAATCGCCGCTGACCCACGGGGGCAGAGGGTGGCCACCTAGTCACTGCCAGAGCCCATGGTCGCATCAGGGGGGCAGGGGGGTGGAGGGGCTGGGCCGGGACTCACAACCCTAGGAGGCAAAGAGACAAGGAAACTGAGGCGCCTGGTCAACATGGTGAAACCTCGTCTCTACTAAAAATACAAAAACTAGCCAGGCATGGTGGGGGACACCTGTAATCCCAGCTACTTGGGGGGCTGAGGCACGAGAATCGCTTGAACCTGGGAAGCAGAGGTTGCGGTGAGCTGAGCTGAGATCGCGCCACTGCACTCCAGCCTGGTGACAGAGCGAGACTCTATCTCAAAAAAAAAAAGAAAAAAAAAAAAGAAACTGAGGCACAGAGGAGTCCAGGTGCTTGCACCATGAGGGGTCAGGAGACAAAGCCAAACCTCTGCAGTGTGACCCCAGGGACCAATGGTGTTCAGCCGTGCCCCTCCTCCGAGGCCTGGGCTCCAGTGCTGAAAAGCCAGGACAACTCAGCCTGCCAGCGCCCAGGCCTCCTCAGTTGTGAGCTCAGGGAGCCAGCCAGCGTGCTTCCAGGCCAGTGGGCTCCCCACAGGCTCCCGCTGGGCGGGGTCTCAGGGCACCCTGTCTCGGAAAGGGGCTTAGGGATGGACCTTTTTCTGCCTTATACCAGGGGCTACAACTTGGCCTCCAGGTGGCAGCTGGGGGTTCCTGAGGAGGCTCCAGCATCCTCCCTTCCCTCTGGTTGGCTCCAGCAGGGATTCCAAACAGGCCTGGGACCCAGTTCTCCTAACCTGCTCCTGCCCTCGGGGGCTTCCAGTCCAAGGCAAGACACTATTCTTTCTTTCCTTAACCTGCTCCCACTGTGCCTATCCAAGTGTGACGTCATCTACCTTTCAAGAATGTATAGCTGGCCCATTTTACAGAGGAGGAAACTGAGGCTAAGTCAGAAGAAACTTGCCCAAAGCCCCACGGTAGTGTTAAAGCTGGGAGGTGGGCCAAAGACAAGCCTCTCCCTGTGCTCTGCTGCCAACAGAGAGGACCAGTCCCAGGCTTCACGGGAGGAACTGAAGGAAGCCGGCCTGGGGAGACTGGAGTCTGGCATGCAGCCAGGCCTTTGCTCTGGGGCCCCCAACCCAGCCCTCAAAGTGGGAGGTGGGGCCTGTTGAGAAAAAAGGGAAGCAAGAACCCGAGAGAGGAAGTTGAATAGGAATGGGTTGGGCAGAGTCTCCTGCCTCCGGTCAGAGCCGAGGGTCCAGGTGGGGGATGTCGAGGGACCTGGCTCAACCTCAGGGTTCCGCTCAACTCAAAGTTGGGACGAGGCCCTTGCTGGAAAAGCTCTAGAGCCTATCAGGCCCTGCAAAGCTGAGGGATGCGTCCAATAGGACCAGTTCTTTGTTGTTCCTGCCACAGGGAGGCCCCTTCCATCCCTTCTCTCATCTAACAAAACTCCTATGCATCCTTGATACCCAGCTTTCAAGGTTGCCTCCCTGTTGACACAGCCAGCCAGCGTAACTGTCAGCTCAACACCTAGTTCCTTCCTGCCAACAGCGACAAGAACCATTTCCTCTGTGCTGCACTTCACAAGCCTGGGCCCTACTTCTCAAAAGGAGCCCACAGGGGAGATGGCGCCCGGCCAGCAGAGGGTGTGGGCAGGGCCAGGGACCACCTTGTGTCCAGCTCAGGGCAGGCCTGATGGGATAAATGTGCACGGAACAGAGCCAATCACACAGGTCCGAGGCCACCCAGTCTGGCAGCGATGACTTTAATGCCAACGACTGAAAATTGGGAGGTTACAAAAAACCTGGCTTCTCATGACAAGTCTGGTCCCACTTGTTTCTGCCTGGCCCCTCACTGGGAGCAAGAGCTTTCCCTCCAGGTCACCCAGGCCCATCCTTTGCCTGCCCACCATCAGGGACTGGGTTTGTGACCCCTGGCCTGGGCCAAGTGCACATTGTGACAGGCATGTCTACACACACAGCCTCCCTAATTCCTGCCGACAAACCAGCCAAGCAAACAACGGCCAAGGGAGACTCAGGAAATCCCCAAATAACTGAAACAGCAGATGCCTGGCCCATCCCAAGCCTCCTGGACCAGCTGCTTTGGAGGGATGGGGAACAAGGGCACCTAGATTTTTATCAAATTCCCCAGAAGTTGTCACAGCACAGCTAGGTTTGGGAATTTCTACCCCAGCTAACCTCAGAAAGCCTGGGAGCCCGCAGTTCTGCTGGTGCGGAACAAGCACCATAGTAACTATGCTGTTTCCCCCGCGCCAACTTGGTGAGTCCTCCCAGCAGCCAAGACACCAAGGCTCAGAGAGGTGAGGTCCAAGGCCAGTCAGCCGGAATTGTGAGTGCACAGGGGCGTGACCTAAGCAGTCTGGCCGTAAAGCACCCATGATTAGCCACCAAGCCAGCAGCCTTGACTGCTCCGCTTATGCCAGGATGTCTTGCAGATGGCTGAGCAGTGCCAGACCCAAGGCACTCTCACAGAGGCCCAGGCCTGTGGGTGTCTGCTCTGTAGACACCCTACAAAGGCACCCACTCCCCAGGGCAGGAAAGGTGGTAAGGAGCTGGGTAAGCAAGCCAGAAGACAGAAGGGCCTCCAGCTGTAAGAGCATCGGCCCTCACAGACTCACACATGACAGTGACTTCTAGCTAGATTCTTGCCTACAGACCGTGGGCAAGGGCTTCCCCTCCCGAGCCTCAGTATCTTCATCTGTAAAATGGGAACAGCCCAATAACTACCTCCCAGTTTAGCGTCAGGGACTGCTCCAAGGCAACAGCAGAAGCAGCTTGTAAAGTCTGAACGTAGCTTGGGTGTGAATGATCATTATTAGAGACCACAACACGCTGACCTCCATTTCCAACCCCGAGCAGAGCTTGAAGGGCGCCACTTCCCGGGCAGCAGGCTACTCTAGGGGAATACCTCAGCTGGGAAGAGTGGATCCTGGCTCTTTAAGCCCTGCCAGGAACAGGGGTGGCATAGAAGGGTTACACCCACTTCACAGCTGAGAAAACTGGGGCTGAGAGAAAGGAAGTTACTCTAGGCCACAAGGCCAGAGAGAACAGAACTGGTCCGTCCTAGTTGGCCTCCTAGGCCCAAACTCCCCCAACCCGTAACTCCTTGTGGCATCAGCAGCTGGAGGAAATCACCTAACCCCGAGAGGCCGAGCCGCACAGGAGGCTGGGAGAGCACTCTCTTTCAGGCACCCGTCTTTAGCTCGGTGGTACAGAGAAGCAAGCAAGGCCCAGAGTTGGAGCTAGCAACTTGCTCAAGGTCAAACAGCAAGGGTGGCCAAGTGGCCTCCCCTAACAACTGCTCTGCCGGTCCACATTTCTGTGCTGTGCTGTCACGGAGGTCTGTGCGATCAAGTCTTGAGAGTCCCGTCGCTGAGCCCTGTCCGCCCTGAGGCATGCAATGCATTCTGCAGTTAACACCACCCCTCTACACCCACCCAGGAAAGCCGGCCAACCCCTTAGGTCCAGCGCCCCAAGCACCTACCCTGACCTCGGTCTAAGAGCCCCAGGGATCTGTTTGCAGGAAAAGACACTCCCTTTTGCAGAAAAAAACAAAGTCAGACCCTGGGGGCATGAGTAGACACAGCCAGGAAGAGAAGCCCCCCTTCTTACTTCCCCATACCCCACTCCAAACAAGCAGGCTCTGCCCAGCGCAAGCAGAGCTTCCCAGCTGGAAGCCGCTGAGGGCCGGACCACCAGACGAGGAGAGAAAACTCCCTGGGTGACCTTGGTCAAGGAAATCTCTTTGCTTCTGAGAGCCTCAGTTGGCACAACTGTAAAATGGGGGTGGAAATCTTTCCTTCCCAGAGCGCCCAAATAAAACCACAAGAGTCAAGAAGAAACCAGGTGGTCACAGTAGTGGGGGAGGAGACCAGCGTCCCTGGGGAAGGGGGGCTCTCCAACGCGGGCCAAGTGCATGTTGTGGGGCTCTGGGAAGCTTACCCAGCCACCCCTCTCCAGGCATAGCCCTGGGGAGCCGAGGCGCGGACGTCTGCCCCGAGAGGGGCCTCCCTCGTCCGCTTCCCACTTTTTTGTGCCGCTCTCGGAGGGACACCGGGGGCGGAAGGCAAGACTGCAGCGCAGGGGCCGGAGCGCTGTGACTTTAAGAGCCGAGGATCCCGGACCATGTGCTCGGCGAGAGACAAAAGCAACAACAAAGGAAGTGGCGGCCGCAGGGGGAGGGGGGCGGCTCCTTCCTCTCCAACCGCAGCGTTCAGCCGCAGGAGAGTGGAGACCCGGCCCGGCCACTGGGGGCCCGGAGGGGTTCCTGATCCCTGGGGTCTCGCTGTCCGCAGTCTGGATCGCCCGTGATTAACCCCTGCGGAGCTAGCTAGATCACGGCCCCCATTCCCAGGGGAGGGGAGCAGGAGGTCCATGAGTAGGGGAATAGGGAGTTGGGGGCCCTGGCCCCGACTCACCTTTGGCCGCCCGGCCACACGTTGACTCCTTTGTTTCCGATCTAAGACGGCCAAAGGGGGGGGGGGGGGGGGGGGGGGGGGGCCCTGCCTGGACCCTTTAAGAGCTGCCGCCCTGCGAAACAATGTGCTCCCCTCCCCACCCCCGGGTCCGGGGGCAGCCCGGCTCCTTCCGGGGCCTTTCTCTTTGTTGTCCGCCCGACGGCGTCTGCCTCGCGAGGCCCACACGCGGTCAGTCTCTCTCGGCCCAGGCCCTCAGGGAGCGGGAGGCGGCGCAGGACGCAGCTGGGTCTGCGCGGCAGCCGGCGGCTGGCCCTTTAAGAACTGTCCCCGGCGGCAACGGAATGTAACAAACCCCACATTTGATTCACAACATTCGAAGCGGCGGGGTCGCGCGCCGGGCGGGAGGGGGCCCGCGGGGGCGCGCCAGGAGGATACGGCAAACAGTAGCCCGCTGCAAGCCCTCGGGGGCCCCGCCCCGCGCCGGGAGCTCCGCCCTGAGAGCCAATCACTCGCCGCGACCACGCACGTGACTACTGGGCCGCCATCTTGAAAGATTTTTTTAACCTCCTCGCCCCCACCTTCGCACTTAAAGTGACCGCAGCCCTAGTCAAAATCAAGGGGCGGGGCCACATGGACTGATACAAAGATGGGGAGACCCCAGGGTGGGCAAAACCGATCGGCTGCAACTCGAACTTGCTATGCAAACTCGCTAACTACTCGCGCCTCTGAGACTCAGTTTCCCTGCCGAAGAAACTGTACTGCAGGAGAACCGGCAGTACCGACTTACTGTGTCATGGTCCCCTCCTCGGGGACAGGGTGCCGCCTGAGATACTGAAGTGCAATGGGTCTGACCTCTGACAGGGCGAGAGCGGCCTCAAGCCGGCCCAAGTGGTTAGGCTAGCTCTAACAACCCTGGGCCGGCCACCTTCCCGGAGATGACGTCACCCCCAAGAGCTGCAGCACCGCGCTGACATCATGGCCCGGCCGCCCCACATCTCCTTGTTTATACTACGCGGCGTCTTTAAAAAGCTGGGACGGCCCAGATTGCCCAACAGACCAATGGCGGACCACCCATGCAAACGAGATAACGTCTGCCGGGCAAGGAGATTGGCCCTGCTCGCGCTGACGTCACAGAGATATTTAACCGCCCCGCCCCCAGCGTGGCGGCGACGGAAGAGGGGCGGGGAACAGGTTGTAGTTTAAAGCAAAACTGCAGGCACCGGGCGCTCTAGCTGCTAGGCTGGGCTTGAGAGTTTGGTGTCCCCGCGGAGACCTCCCTACCCAGGGAAACTGGGAACTAAGCCCACTGAAGCCTCTATACTTTAGTTTTCTATTCCTCTCAGCAGCTATGAGACAGAGGGATTGCTAATAGCCAGTTCTTTTTACAGATGGGGAAAGTGAGGGCCTTCCCTTACTCCAGATCACACAACTAGAAATGTGGCGGAGCAGGAATTTGAACCTAACCCAAAGCCAAGCCTCGTTCTCCTTTGCCTCGAAGCCCACCCACCCGGGCAAAATTTATACAAAATGGGGTATTACCTCCACCACAATTATATAAGCAGAGAATCAGTAATTTCCTAAATATCCGAGAGCTGGAAGAGGTCGAATAATGAATATTGGGTGCATGCATATATAATCAATAACGACTCTTGGGCAGTTACCACAAAGAGGCAGCTGGAGGCGACATGGAGCTACCTCCAAGACAGCCATAAACGAGGCGCCAATGCAAAATGTTAACATCTGTTAACCTGCGTGGTGGGCCATAGGGCAGGGGGATGGGGGGCTCACTTTCTTTGCTTCTTTGGTATATTTCATAATCCCAAATTTTAAATAAAAATTGAAACCAAGATGCTGAACAGGTGTAACAGTATGTACAGGTTTTTTTAATTGGACATATACCACATCTGCATTTATTTCTGGAAGGGTATACAGAAAACTGATTAACAATTGTTGTCCTTAGGGAGAACTGGAAGGGAGAAGTGGGTCAGGAGGATAGACTATTGTATATATTGCACATTAGCTCTTTTTAAAAAACCCTATGCATCATAACCCACTGAAATTTTAAAAGAAAACTATTATAGAGACTATGTCTTAAGTCTTTTAAGCTAGAAAACCGTTTGTTCCCTTAGAATCAGAAATCCCCTTTCAGCTTGGGGAACAGACATGTTTATGGCAATGTTTAGACCAGCAACAATCAGTATCACTGTGCAACACAATGACTGAAGATGGAACTGAGCCGGCTGTTTGCAGATCTCTAAGCAACACAAGAGCAAGTTCATGATGCAGTGCTATCGATGTTACCCGGAATGCCAAACTCTATCCATCACAGTTAAAAATTACGTGTGCATGAGAATAAGTGTGGATATACAAGGTTATGTCTTTAACCAGTTCCTTATCATCAACTGTTCCTTCACCTCCAATGTCTCCTTCAACCTTTTGTTTTCCCCACCACATAAAAGCAATTTGAAAACCCTCCCCTTGGCTGGGCGCAGTGGCTCACACCTGTAATCCCAGTACTTTGGGAGATCGAGGCGGGCAGATCACGAGGTCAGGAGTTTGAGACCAGCCTGACCAACGTGGTGAAACCCCGTATCTACAAAAAATACAAAAATGAGCCGGGCATGGTGGCATGCACCTGTAAACCCAGCTACTCAGGAGGCTGAGGCAGGAGAATCGCTTGAACCCAGGAGGTGGACGTTGCAGTGAGCCGAGACCACATCACTACACTCCAGCCTGGGCGACAGAGCGAGACTCTGTCTCAAAAAACAAAACAAAACAAAAAAAAACAAAAAAAACCCTCCCCACATTCGAAGGTACCTACATATTTATTAGATTACTGCCTGCCTGCCCTTATGGATAGGGCCTACAGTGGCTCCCTACTGCCAACTGCATGGAAGCCTGGCTTGGAGGCTGCACTTAACAAGCTCTTCCTGCCCAAACTTTTCAGGCTCGCCTCTCCCCAGTCCCTCCTCTCACACCATGGTGGTGCTTCCTCTGGCCTTCTCTCCCTGCCACCTTCCTGCCTTTTTTCAGGCTAGACCGCCTGCCTGGGATGCCCTCTCTTTTCCTTTCTGCCAATCCATTTCACTTTTCGGCCGTTTGAAGCTCTGTTCCTATCTCGCCTTTCACAGGAAGCTGCCTGTGGCATCTCCAGCTGTGCTGAATCCCCCATTTTTGAACGCAGAGCTAGATGCACTCCAGCCTTTACCTCATGCCATTTAATTTGCACACAGTCCTGTCACAATCTCTGTGTGTCTCACTCAGTAATTCCCCTGGCAGAAGGGGTTTGGCTTTTTTAAGTGTGCAGACGTCCAACCTTCACTGGCATATACGAGTATCCCAGCCTCATTTTGCAGATGAGGATCTGAGGCTCAAAGAGGTGAAGTGACTTGTCTGAAGCCACACAGTGAGACCACCTTTACCATCCCCACCCCAGGAAAGCGACCCTCCAGCCACAATCTAATCCTGTACTTTTAAGCCACCAAGCCTCTGACTGTGGCATTCTCCCTGCTTAATATGTCCTCAATATCTCCTACTTACTGGGCAAAATCCTGCTCATGCTTTGGGGCTAGCTCAAGGACCACTCCCTTGGAGCCTTCCCTGCCCTGCCAGCTTGCTTTGGCATCCTCAGTCCATTAGGATTACCATCACATTGCCTCATGAGAGCAGAAGGCCATCTCCATGTGACTGCTCCCCCTGCTCTCAGCAGAGCCCACAACACCCAGTCTAGGGCCTGGCTCACGCTGGGTGGCGGATGCCCAGGGACGGGGCTCTGGGTCTGCCTCTTGTCCTGCAGGACCAGGAAACCCCTGCCCTGTCCTGGCCCCAGGAAACCCTCAGTAAATCCCCAGTCACTTGAGTTTCCCCTCAGCGCCAGAGGCCAATAACACATCTCCCCCAACCTGAAAAACCTTTGTGGGTGATTGTGAAATCACTCTGGATTAGGGGAAGGGAGGCACAATTTTCCCAGAATTTTCCAGTTTTTCAAATGAAGTCACAAATCTGAACTTTTCTTTGAATCCCTCCTCAGGGTCACTGATGGATCTTAGGCTTTGGAACCCTGCTGTGGGGACATGGCCTGCACACCTACAGTGCCAGCCGCGTTCTCCTCACACCCCAAGCCCTTGAAGGCAGGTGTTGTTTACTTTCATCTCACAGAGAGGAAAGCGGTTCAGAGCCATGGAGGGGCCGACCCTCACCACAGAGCCCAGAAGTGTGAAACCTCAGATGGGAGTGGCCCATCCACTCTGGCATCTGCTGTGAGGTTCCATGGGGGAAATGGGGGTCCTAGAGTCTTCCACAAGCTCTGGGCGAGTCCTATCCTGATCCTCTCCTCATCATGATCTAAGAGCTGGCCACCAGCATTGGCCCCATTTTACAGATGAGGTGAGAGGTGACAGGACTCACCCAGTGTCATGCAGCCATCAAGAGGCAAACCTGGGATCCCATTCTAATCTCACATTGTGTGGTTTGTGCAATAGGAATGCCAACACAGAGGCCCCCGTGGTTGCTGAAGAACCAAATGCAGATGTCCCCAGGGAAAGGGGAGAACACAGAGGCTCAGGGACTAGTGGATGGCTCCAGATCAGGGTGCACAGGAGCCTGAGGGGGATCCAAAGTTTGATCCTTCCAGCGCAAAGCACTAGATGCCACATTCCGGCTTCCTCCCCCAGGCCTCCTCTGCAGAGGGGAGGGGCTTGGGCAGGCTGAGGCAGGAAGAGGACATGGCCATGTTTCCTGATGGGGCCCTGCCCGACCAGGGTTCTCACCTACCCCAGTGCCTGGACAGCTGGCTGCATCTCTCCCTCAGAGTCAGAAAGTACCCCATTTCTTTCTTCCAAGGCCCCTCAAACCTCCCTCCAAAGAGGCAGGGTCCAGTCACCTTCCCAGGATGGAGCTGGCGGGACACAGAGACTGGGGTACCAGCCAGGGACACAGCACAGCCTGGCAGAGCCAGCTCAGGGCTCACACCTCCCAGATACCAGAGCATCAGATCAGGGTCCAGAGCCTCACACACCAGGGAGCGAGTAGACAAGGCCCTGCTAAGTCCTCTCCACTCAGGGCTGGCCTCAACATCCCTGAGCCCCGAGTTCTGGCTCCCTTGAGTGGCTGTGCAGATGGCGGCGAGGGCAGGGCGTCTGGAGAGATGCTCCAAGTCTGGGGCTCTGGGCCTCAGCGCTCGGGCTCCAGTTTTGAGACCTTGGGTAAGTTCTATGGCTCCTCTCCTCCTCAGTCTCTAGTCTGTAAAGTCGGGTGATCGATAATAACTAGGCCACTGGGGGAAAGGACTACACTGAGGGGTGAGACAGAGCCCCTGAGGCCAGCCCGTCCTGCCTCTGCTTAGCCTGTGACCTTGGGGAAGTCAGTAAAGTCTGTGAGGCTGTTTGTCCAGGTGTGAAGCGGGGTGAAAGCATCCTCCTCGGTGGGTCAACAGAGGTTCTGTGTGTGTGTGCCGGTGGGCTGTACCTGCCGACTTTTCGGGAATGGGTCTGCATTTGGAGGTATGCGCTGTGTGGGTGTGGTGTGGGGGCGTTCCCCTTTCTGACTCCTCCTCCCCACCCCGCAGCTCTCACTACTGGAACCCCCAGATTCTGCAAAGGGGGCAGGAACCGTCACCGCATTGTTCAATGATGAAAACCGAGGTCTGCAGGAGTGCGGTCCCTGGAAGACCCAGGAAGACGAGTCTTCCCGAATCTCCCACGGTCCCTCCATCTCACTCGTCTTCCTCCCCCTACTTCCCAGCCCCCGGCACCAGCTCGACACGAGCTTAGTGGCTTTCAGGCAACGGAAGCTGTGTGACCTTGGGCAAGACACCGACCCTCTCCGGACCCCGCGGCGTTCGGACATCCAGAATGCAGTAAGGACGGCGCTGTAGTGCAGCGGTCTGTTCCCCGGACCTGCAGCCGCTCCAGGGCAGGGCTCTGGCCGCTCTGGCTCCCCGGCGGCTGGCACAGGGGGCGTCGGGGAAATGTCTAGGACGGACATGGCGAGGCCAAAGAACTGCAGCGTCTCCGGCTCGCGGTCCGTGACCCGCCGGGGGTGGCGGTCGGGACGTGCGCGGGGCGCAGGGCACGCGGGGGCTCGGAGTTCCCTGGGGCTCCCCGAGCGGGGGCGTTTGGACCTAGCGGACTGGGAGAAGAGCGGCACAGCTCCCGCTGCCGGGCCCGGGACTGCGAGGTCCCACCGTGCGGGCGCCGGCAGAGGCCTGGCGGGAAGCCCCGGCGTGCGCTCCTCCGCCGGCTCGCGGCCGCCCCCTACCGCCGCGTGCTCGCCGGCCCTGCGCCCGGGGCGCTCGGCGCAGGGTCCCGGCCCGGCGTTACCTGGGGCGGCGGCGGGGCTCCACCCCCTCCCGGCGGCCGGCGCGTCGCTCCCGCTGCAGCCCGGGCTCGCGGTGCGGCTGCGGCCCGCGCGCCGCCTGCCGCGGCCCCTCTCCGGCCCCGTGCAGAGGAACCGTCCGCGGACCTCACCGCCCGGGCGCGCGGGGCCCACGCCGGCTGCGCAGCTTCCAGGACCCCCGGCCCTGCCCCTCGCGAACGGAGCTGCCTGGACCGCACCACGCGTGCGGGAGCGCGGGTGGCGCGGGCGGGGCGGAGCCTCTTTCGGCCGCGCCCGCCCAGCGTCAGTCGGCCTGGGGTGCGTAAGGGCGCGGCGCCTGGGGCCTGCCAGCCTCCGTGACCTTGGAGGAGTGACTTCGTTTCCTCGTCTGTGAAACGGGAAACAATACGACCCCGTGGTCGTTCAGAGAATCTTCGCTTCCCGGAGAGTGTGTCCCCTCCCCCAGCCCCGGTGGGCGCGGGGGTAGCTAATAGCTGCTCTGGGGTCAGCAGATCTTGGTTCCCCACTTTGGGCCATTCTCTGAGCCTCAGTTTTCAAGTCTGCGGAATGGAAGTGATGATACCTTCTTCAGGAGGAGGATGGGAGACTCCTGTGACAAAAGACAAGGCGGCCGGCAGAGACGTGGGGAGGGATTACGCTTCCCGCAACCCCTGTGTCCCCATCGCTAGAGCCAACCTGGACCAGGGCATGGCCGGCACCTGCTCAGGCCGCGGGTCCCAGCCCCGGAGGGGAGCCCCACCGCCCCCGCCCCCTGGGCGCATTAGGCCAGCGAGGGCTGCACCCTGCTGCGGGCCGCGCTCTGGCTGGCATGCAGGTGGTGGTAGTCCATGCAGACCGCGCCTCTTGCAGGCTGCCCAACCAGGTCGTCTTCTCAGCCCAGGTTTAGGTCCTCTGCGGAGGGCTGATTAGACGGTGGAGCGGCTGCCTCCCGGTCTACTTAATTTTTAAAGCTGCCGTTCGTTGACAGAACAGCCAACTAAAGGAGAGCTTTAGAGGGAATGAGTGCGCGGAAGGAGGCTCTGGGGTGGGGAGAAGGTGGTCTCATGGGTCCCCAAGTTCTTTCTTTCTTTCCTTTCCTCCTCCCTCCCTCCCTCCTTTCTCTCTCTCTCTCTGTCTCTCCCCTTCTCTCTCTCTCTCTCTTTCTTCTTTTCTTTGCTTGCTTTCTTTCTCTGTCCTTTCTTTTTTTGACGGAGTCTTACTTTGTCGCCCAGGCTGGAGTGCAGTGGCACGATCTCGGTTCACTGCAACCTCCACCACCTGGGTTCAAGCGATTCTCCTGTCTCAGCCTCCCGAGTACCTGGAATTACAGGTGCATGGCACCACGCCCGGCTAATTTTTTGTGTTTTAGTAGAGACGGGGTTTCACCATGTTGGCCAGGCTAGTCTTGAACTCCTGACCTCGTGATCCGCCCGCCTCGGCCTCCCAAAGTGCTGGGATTACAGGAGTGAGCCACCGTGCCCAGCCCCCAAGTTCTTTCTAGGGTGGAAGGCTGTGAGTCTGTGACATCACGGGGATATTCTTGGGTTGGTTATTTGTAAGAGCAATGAAGGGACTTTGTACCCTTCAGAGTACAGCTTCTGGGCGGGACTGGGGAGTTGAGGGATTGAATGCAGACCCAGACTCTGCAGGTCCTCTCTGAGGCTGTACACTAGGTGGGCGTCAGAGATATTGCAGGTGAAGAAATGGCGGCTCAGAGGGAAGGAGACACTTGCCCAGCTCCGGGGCAAGCTAACACTTGATTTCGACTTGACAAATTTCTGAGTATGTAGTGGGTGCGCATAGCAAAGACAGGTAATGAGAACTTTTCTTTTTTTGGGGGGGGGGAGGGGACAGAGTCTCACTCTGTCACCCAGGCAGGAGTGTAGTGGTGCAATCTTGGCTCACTGCAACCTCACCCCACCCCACCCCCAGGTTCAAGCAATTCTTGTGCCTCAGCCTCCTGAGCAGCTGGCACTACAGGTGCGCGCCACCACACTGGGCTAGTTTTTGTATTTTTAGTAGAGACGGGGTTTCACCATGTTTCATGTTTCACCGTGTTGGCCAGGCTGGTCTTGGACTCCTGGCCTGAAGTGATCCGCCCGCCTCAGTCTCCCAAAAGTGCTGGGATTACAGGCGTGAGCCACTGCGCCCGGCCGAGAACTTTTTCTGATTAAAAAAATTTTTTAAGGCACACACTTCAGACAGTGACTGTGAAGGAACCCTGATGTGTATCTAAACTGTTGCCTCATGTACATCACCCCATTACTTACCCTGTGCTAAGTGCTGTCATGCATTACATCATTACTCCTTAGAGCAGGCCTATGAGGTGGAGTCTGCATTAGGCCTCTTTTCAACAGGGACACCAATAATGTGGGAGATGATGTACCTTGCCCAAGCCCCCAGCAGGTAAGTGGTGGGGGGGATTAGAACCCAGGTCACCTGAGTCCATATACTGGGCTCTTAGCCCCACTCTGCCTGGCTGCCTGCTGTTCCATGAAGCCAACCCTGGACCTAGACCTGGACCTGGATCGTCACAGCCCAGATCCCCGTGTGCTTCCCAGGCTGCCTTGTGGCAGGTGGATGGTGCCCCTTGAGATGGGCAGGGCACCATCTGGCCACACATCTTGATGGGTCCAAAGGTCTGGGCAGGCCAGGACACACCTCTGGCAGCCAGAGCAGTGACTCGGAGCTGTCGGCCTCAGCCGTAAGGGCAGGGAGGGAGGGCAGGGGCTTGGATTGGGGTCTGCCCTATTTGGGGCACAGCAGAGTGACCAAGCTGACTCCCATGGTCTGAGGCAGAGTGGGGAGCCTGGAGCCTTGGGTGGGGTCACCTGCCTCGCCTCTTACCAGTTAAGCCACCAGTGATGACTGGTGCCTACTTCCTTCAGAAAGGAATCTGATGGCTGTGGCAGGAAAGTCAGGGGCAAGAATCGTTGCACAGACTTGTGCTGATATCCCGGTTCTGCCACCTTCTGCAATCTTGGGTGGTGATCTAACCTGTCCAGGTGTCTCTTTTCCCATCTGTAATAGGGGAAAAAAATCATCCCTGGAGTTACTGGCAGGATTAAATGAGGTGATATTAGTAGTAATAATGCAATGGTCGCCACCATGCCACCATGAAAACATTCATCGAGACCTTACTGTTTTGGGCACTGTGCCTGGGACTTTCAATGCGTGATTTCATTACATCCTCACCACCACCTTCCCAGGTAGGCATCATGGATTACCTGCAATTTCCAGATAAGGAAACAGTCTTAGAGGGGTGATGTAACTTGCCCTGCCAAAATTGAACCCATTTGTGAGTATATAGTAGGTAAACAAAAATAATAAAAATAAAATAAAAAATTGTAGCCGGGCATAGTGGCTCACGCCTGTAATCCCAGCACCTTGGGAGGCTGACACGGGTGGATCACCTGAGGTCAGGAGTTCAAAACCAGCCTGGCCAACATAGTGAAACCCCATCTCTACTAAAAATACAAAAAATTAGCCAGGCACGGTGGCGCATGCCTGTAATCCCAGCTACTCTGGAGGCAGAGGCAGGAGAATTGCTTGAACTCAGGAGGCAGAGGTTGCAGTGAGCCAAGATTGCGCCATTGCACTCCAGCCTGGGCAACAAGAGTGAAACTACGTCTCAAAAAAAAAAAAAAAAAAAAAAAAACTGAACACAGCTGTCTGCCCCAGGAGGAGCCCGGTCTCTTATCCCCTGCATTGTAATAGTCATATCAAGTGCTGCCTAGTGTCTACAGCCTCCTTTCCTCAGAAACACTTCTCAAAAAGAGGAAAAGTCTCTTGGCTATCAAAACTCAGAACTGCATCATAGCTCATAGCTCCCAGAACCTGGCTATATGCAAAGTAGTTTTTTTTTTTTTTTTTTAGACGGAGTCTTGCTCTGTCACCCAGACTGGTGTGCAGTGGCACGATCTTGGCTCACTGCAACCTCTGCCTCCCGGGTTCAAGCGATTCTCCTGCCTCAGCCTCCTGAGTAGCTGAGATTACAGGCACCTGCCACCGTGCATGGCTAATTTTTGTATTTTTAGTAGCAACAGGGTTTCACCATTTTGGCCAGGCTGGTCTCGAACTCCTGACCTGGTGATCCACCCACCTCAGCCTCCCAAAGTGCTGGGATTACAGGCATGAGCCACCATGCCCGGCCTATGCAAATGTTTTAAAATGAATGGATGCTGGACTTAATGGATCTCAATTCCCTTTTTGCTTTGCCTGCTGGGAAGCTCAGAACCTGATTCATGACCCACCTATACAATTACCCAGAACTTGAAGGCAAATATATATATAATTCGTTTAATTTTTGACACACAAGATCTCGTTATGTTGTCTGGGCTGGAGTGCAGTAGCTATTCATAGGCACAATCTCACTACTGAGCAGCACCTGAGTTTTGACCTGCTCCGTTTCTGACCTGGGCTGGTTCACCCCTTCTGAGGCAACCTAGTGGTCCTCCGCTCCTTGGGGTTCACCATATTAGTGCTGAATGTAGTGTGGACACTCTGTCAACATAGTGCACTACAGCAGAGAAATCCTGGCCTCAAGCCGTCCTCCTGCTGCAGCCTCCCAAGTAGCTGGGACTACAGGTGCACACCACTGCCCCCAGCTCAAGACAAGTATTTTGTGGCCTCAATTCAGGCATAGATTACCCTTGTTTTTCTCACTTGGCTTCCCTTCATCTGGGCTTCTTCTCCTTTTTCTGCTCATGGCATATATATTTTGTTAATATGTTTTACATTTGGAGAGTTGGGAAACAAACTATTAAAATGCCTGACTATAGCAACTGCCTGATACACAGTCACACATCCCTTAACAACGGGACACCTTCTGGGAAATGTGTCATCGGGCAATTTTGTCGTTGTGTGAACATCATACAGTGACTTACACAAACCTAGATGGTACTACTTGCTACACGCCTAGGCTGTATGCCACCAGCTGTCCTCCTGGGCTGCTAACCTGTGCAGCCTGGGACTGAACCAGACACTGCAGGCAACTGTAACGCAGTGTAAGTATTTGTGCATCGAAACACAGAAAAGGTGCAGTGGACTACGGTATTACACTCTCATGGGACCACTATTGTATGTGTGGTTCATCGTTGACCAAAACACAGACATATGGTGCATGACTGCGTATCTATTGTGAATTAGACATGTCCTCTGCCCACAAGAAGAGGGCCACCCAATGGTGATGACCCAGTGTTGTGCCTTAAGAAAGTTGTGCCCAGGGTCCCCTTTCTGTGTCAACTGTGATGGCTGAGCCAAAGGGAGGATAAGGAGGACTTGTGACTGAGTCCCTGCGGGAGGCCACCACATCGGACAGCGCTTAAAGCCAGCCTGGGAGCCGGGCTCCGTGGCTCATCCCTGTAATCCCAGCACTTTGGAAGGCTGAGGCAGGTGAATCGACTGAGGTCAGGAGTTCGAAACCAGCCTGGCCAACATGGTGAAACCCTGTTTCTATTAAAAATACAAAAAATTAGCCGAGTGTAGAGGCGCACACCTGTAATCTCAGTTGCTCGGGAGGCTGAGGCAGGAGAATCTCTTGAACCCGGGAGACCGAGGTTGCAGTGAGCCGAGATGGTGCCATTGCACTCCAGCCTGGGCGACAGAGTGAGACTGTCTCAAAAATAAATAAATAAAAGGCAGCCTGGGGATGGATGAAGCCCCCGGGGACGGGCAGATGCCTTTGGAGGGCCTCAATGCGGAATCGGGTCAGCGTCAATAGGCTCGAAAGTGGGTTGTCCAGGCTCAGGTAGCCCCCACTCCTCCATGAGAACCTCACAGGGACTGGTCTGGCCACGCAGTGTTTGATTGTTACACTGTTTCACCACTTCACTCTCCTGACTTAACCCCCTACTTTCCCACAGATCTCCTGTCACTGAAGACTTGTAGCAGGCAGGGGACGGGGGCTCTGGCATCACCTTCTAACTATCACCGTCCCGCCTCCAGCCTGCCCCAGGGCTGGGCCTTGTTCCCAGGTCCTCCGGGCTCAGGGTCGGTCAGGCCCCTTCTCCTGTGGTGTGGGCCTCCAGCCCCAGGAGGTCTGGCGCCTTGGTCCCTTCCTCCTGTCTGGGGCTCCCAGCTCTCCTCAGTGCCCCATTAGGAGTCAGCCCGCTTCTGGGAGGTGTGGTCTCTGGCAGGGTTAATAATTGTTCAGTGGAGGTGGAGATGGTGCCAAAGTCTGCTGGCCACATAGCTGCAGGCCGCAGAAGGTGCCCAGCTGTGCCCCGGCACCTGTCTGGCGCCTGCCTGCCACCTCCGTGGCGAAGGGGACACAGGTAGGGACCGTCCAGCCCATCGGGAGTCTCTGGGCCAGAGATATTTGGTGGGGGTTGGGGGAGGTCCCTAGAGCCAAGGCAAGCTTGGGGGTCTTTCAAGTCTCCCCTGAAGCTGGGCAGGGGAAGTCCCACGCTGGGTGGGGCAGACCCGGCTGGAGTCCCAGCCTGCTGTGAGGCCTGTTTCTTTGGTAAACGTGGGATAATAATACCTCCTTCCCTGGGGGCTGATGGCCCCCTTCCCATCCAAGTCCTCGCAGGATGATTCTTCGAAGGATGGAAGGGAGGCAGGCGCCCCAGGGAAATGAGGGAACTGGCCTGGCCCCTTCACAGGATGCTCGGGGGTTGAGGAGGGGAAGCTGACCTGGGCTTTTACTCCAGCTGCTCTGTTCACATCCCAGCTCCACCCTGACCTTGGTGGGCTGCTTCACTCTTCTGGGCCTCCGTTTCCTCATTTATCAAATGGGGATGAGAAGAGTTCCAGAAAGGGCCTGAAGAGCCCTGAGGTGAAGTAGGCATGTGGCCCATGACCGAGCCCCGTGCCACCTCAGCCAGTACTAGGAAGTGTCAGGCAGGGACTGACCCAGGCTGGCCCTGGCTCTACCCACTCTGGGCCCTGCACATCTCTCTGCCCTGGTAGAGGAGGTGGGGGCCCAGCTGATAGTCGGCGCCACGCTGCATCACTCAGGCAGGCATGTGCTGGGTTGGGTACCAGGCACAAGGCAGGGTCCCAGTGAGCACTGAGGTCCCATTGATGGAAACAGGTCATGGCCCATGTGTAGACTCCATGATTTTTATCCTCACTCCATTTCTCAGCAGGGGAAACTGAGGCCTGGAGAGGGGAGAGGGCTTGCCTGGAGTTGCATGACAAATATGTGAAATGCTGGCATCTGAACCCAGGGCCGTTTGACTCTGTATGTGTCTGCTGGGCCAGGTGGCCTGGGCCATAGGCACTGGGAAGGCCTGTGGCGGGGAGCTGGTGTTCAGGTTCCACATCCTTGCTCCACGCACCCAGGTTCAGCTGGAGTCCACTCTGTGGGTGCAGGCATGGCCTCCTGGATCAACGGAGCCCAGACCAAGGCTTGCCCAGGGACCCCTGGATTTGGAGGCAACTTGGGTCTAACCTGCTGCCCCTGGCTCACCCATCTCTGGGCATCTGTGAGCCTTGGTTTCCCTGGAATAATAGGATAGGATAATTCCTGCTTGGGAACAGCTGTGAGAAGTCAATGAAAAAGCAGAAGTGAAAGTGCATGGCGAGCTGGCCATGTAGTGGTGGTGGTGCTGGGGGAGCTCTGTAGCATCGTGGCTGATTGCACCCCAGGAGCTCCCCGCACTGAAGGAGTACCCACCTCCCCACCTGGAGGCCCTGGGAAGTCCAGGTATCCTCACTCCCAGTGGTTCCAAATTCTAGAAAATCTTGGCACCGTGGACTGCTCTGAGATGCGGCTGAAGCCCCCTCCCAGCCAAGGCTGAAGAGCTGGCACCTCCTGGGCCAGGTGGGACTAGTGAGGGTTCCTGGAGACTACACATCTCATGGTGTGGGGGCCAGAGCCTCCCTGATTCTCCTGTGTGCTTTTTGGTCTTTCCCTAAGCACTTTCTTTTTGAGACGGACTCTCACTCTGTCTCCCAGGCTCCAGTGCAATGGCACTATCTTGGCTCCCCACAACCTCTGCCTCCCTGGTTCAAGGGATTCTTCTGCCTCAGTCTCCTGAGTAGCTAGGATTACAGGCACACACCACCACACCCAGCTAATGTGTGTGTGTGTGTGTCTGTGTGTCTGTGTGTGTGTGTGTGTGTGTGTGTGAGATGGAGTATCGCTTGTCGCCCAGGCTCGAGTGCAGTGGCGCAATCTCAGTTCACCGCAACCTCTGCCTCTTTGGTTCAAGTGATTCTTCTGCCTCAGCCTCCTGAGTAGCTGGGATTACAGGTGTGCACCACGATGCCTGGCTAATTTTTGTATTTTTAGTAGAGACGGGGTTTCACCATGTTGGTCAGGCTGGTTCAGACCTTTTCTGAGAAGCTGGAAAGAACAGGAGTGGCCAGAGGGCTTGGGAACAAGGAAGCAGTAAT